AAAGCTTTATCAACCAAACTGGCTTCTTTAGATGGCTTCTGTTTTTGGTAATAGATATTATTTTGTGATTGTTCCATTAGAACGTACGTACGTCTCTCTCTCTCTCTCTCTCTCTTTTTTTTAAAGAAATCCTCATCTACCTTGTACTCCCAGTTTGGTGTAGTGGTTAAGTGTGTGGACTCTGATCTGGGAGAACCGGGTTTGATTCCCCCACTCCTCCACTTGCACCTGGCTGGATGACCTTGGGCAAGCCATAGTTCTGTCAGAGGTGTTCTTGAAAAGGAGCAGTTTCTGTCAAGAGCTCTCTCAGCCCCACTTACCTCACAGGGTGTCTGTTGTGGGGAGGGGAAGGGGAAGGAGTTTGTAAGCCACTCTGAGATACGTTTGGGTAGTGAAGGGCGGGGGGTAAATCCAATCTCTTCTCCTCCTCTTCCTCCTCCTCCTTTCTCTGAGTGATTATCTAGCCATGGAACCCCATTTAGCACTAAAACAAGTTCAAGGTACTTGTTCAACCACACTCACCTCGACCTTTGAAGAGGATCACTCACAACTTGCCTCCCCCAGCAACTCACTACAGAAGCAGGAAAGAACCGTTCTGGGGAACTTGGGGAATGTACAGGCTGTTGGAAGGGGAGCTGTGGGATTCCAGAAACGCTCCCACAGCATGCAGAGCACGGAGGCAGTGTGGCTCTGAGGAAGACTAGGTCAGAGCTCTATGGCAGTTGCTTGACTCCCAAGCTAACTTCTACATGCAATCTGGAGAGGAGAGTATGACTTTGGCCTACACAAATCATGAGTAAAATGCCTGGGTTGTCTACACTGCTACTATATTTCCCTGTTTCAGTCCACCTATTTATTAAGATCTATATGGCTCGTATTTCCACATTGCCACCTCTCTCCACTCCTCCAATGCTACAGATTAATCCTGCCCACAGCAGCTATCTTTTTAAAAAGTTTATTTTCAATTAAAAATATAGAAATAACACTAACACAAACAAAAGTTCTGGAATACAGACTACAAAGCTATTATAAAGCATCAATTATACAAGCTCAAAATTAACTTCTCATTCTAGGGTTAGGGTTAGGACAGCATTCCATTTTCCAAATTTATCAGACATTTGGCCATGCAGCAGACAAGTTAGTTTGCACAGATGAGTACATTCTACTACCCCACTGCTGGACCTCCTGATGGCACCTGGTATTTTTGGCCACTGTGTAACAGAGTGTTGGACTGGATGGGCCTTTGGCCTGATCCAACATTGGCGTCTCTTACGTTCTTATGTTCTTAATTTCTCTAACCAATCCCTTTTTCTTTGGGACTATGCTCTTCTTCCAATTCTGAGAAAATAATTAGCCTTGCACTTGCAGATGTGATGTCATTAAGAACAAATTCACAAACATCGTTAGAAGGGTATTCTACATGATTAAACAAAAAAAAAACCCTTAGGGGATAATGGTAAGCTCTTTCCTTATCCCTTTAGAGATAACTGTAGCAATCATATTCTAGAAGTCTGCTGTTCTACACTCCCACCAGATGTGTATAAAATTGGCATTGGTAGCCCCACATACCCAACAGTCCCCATTAGCCCCTTGGTATATTTTTGCTAATGTATAGGGAGATAGGTGCCACTAATATAGCATTTTTATTAGAAGCCAGAAACCCTGTTATAGTCATTATTTTATGGGCTGAATTCAGCCCCATTCCTGCCACAGCAAAACAATAATCCAACAACAAAAAAGGCACATGAGTCATTTTAGTAAATGTTTCCCTCGCTCGAAAGCCAGTCGAATCCGACTCTGGGGATGTGGTGCTCATCTCCGTTTCCAAGCCGAAGAGCCAGCGCTGTCCAAAGACATTTCCATGGTCATGTGGCCAGCATGACTAAATGCCGAGGTGCACGGAACGCTGTTACCTTCCCACTGAAGTGGTACCTGTTTATCTACTTGTAATGTCTTGCTTTCGAACTCCTAGGTTGGCAGGTGCTAGGACCAGAGACAGGAGCTCACTCCGTCATGCGGCACTCGGGTCTCGAACTGCCGAACTGCCAACCTTCAGGTTTGCAGTTCAGCGTCTTAACCACTTGAGCCACCGCAGCCCCTACTGAGTCATTTTAGCACTATGCAAATATAGCGAGCTTTAATGAAGCTGGGAGATGTGTAATTAAGCTGATGTTTGCAATTTATTGTCTTGTACAGACTAGTGGGCATTTTACGTTCTTTTGGAGGTTCGTGAGAAAGCTGAGGATGTTATGAAGTTATAAAGTCAAAATTTACATAGCCGAAACTTGGCATCCGCTTCTATTTAATCTGACAGGTTCTTTTCAGTTTGGGATGCAACGGGAAATCCCTACAGAGAAAAGGCATGCTGGGAGTGTGGAATTTCCAACAGCCTACCACTCCCCACCCATTTCAGGAGGGGCCAAGAAACAGCACTGCATCAATTGAAAGAATTGCCAGAGCACAGTCCGGGATTGCTAACCATCTAGTATTTCACCCATTATTCAGTATTTGCCTTTGGTTCGGTATCAGGCATCTTCTTGAATAAACCAGGTATTTTCATCCCGGAGTATATCACTGTTTTTAAAAAAATATCAATCCCATACCATGATCTTCCAGGTCCCACCTACTAATAAATCTTCGAGGTTCTACTTCTTGGCCCGCCAAAGGCCCACTGGCCACCACCCCTGGCCAGTGGAACACATGATGTTCCCTTAGGCAGAGTAAGACCATTGATCTATCAGGGCCAGTGCTGTCTACTCCGATTAGAAGCAGCTCTAACTCCGATTCCTTGAGTCCTTTCCATCAAATGCTCTCAGAATCTGAAATGTCTAGCTGGTTAGGTTGTATTGAGGGGAAAATCACTGCTATGGGTACACCTCTGGACTCATTGTCTATGGTCCTGTCAATGGGTGCGTATCATGATCAAATGCAGAATTCTGGATATTGAACTCCAAAACCTATTTAGTGCAGCTAATAAAACTGGCTCTCCTTTGAGTTTGGAGATCCCACTGACAGGAGGTCATGGTGGCCCCATATCTATATTCTCTACGAGCACCACCACAACGCAGAGCTTTTTCTTTAGCTAGATTTAATGCCATGCAGTCTGCGATTTTATACGGCAGATTTTGAAAGACAGCCTATTCGGCCAGGCATTGTCCTTGTAACACCAACTGCATTGAGACAATCCCATATGTTTTCCTTTACTGTTCTTTCCATGTAGATATTCATTTTAAATATTTAGGCTCTATTGCAGCTAATGTGATGGGCTTCTCCAGTTCCTACAAGGTATGCTGCCTTCTGAATGATCCTGCCTCTGATATAACTGAGAAGGTGGCAGGCTGCGCCAGGAGAATTTTCAGAAATAATTGAGGATATCATCTAATGGTACTGTAATATAACCTTATATTTATTCCTTCTGTATCTTGCTTATCTTAATTTTTATGTGCCAATAAAGGCTGATTGAACTGAATAGAAGCAGCTCTCCAGGGTCTCAGAGGCATTTCATATCACCTGCTAACTGATGTCATTTTACCGGAGATGTCAAGGAATGAGCCTGCGTGCAATTTCTTGCTTTCGAACTGCTAGACCCAAACTACAGCTGGACTTGCTCCTCTGCCACTGATTCAACCTCATCTCAAAAAATTTAGCAGATACAGAGGAAAGACTGGTTCGTAATAAAGAGGTAGCAATCTTCTGCCAAACACGCTTGTTACACCAGTGCAGGAAAAGGGAAGTAGACATGGCAAGTCCATCTGGATGTATAACCCTTTGCTTGCGGATTCATTTAAGATATAAGGCCTCTGACCTCCGGACTTGGCTGACCCCTAAAGCCAGGCACTTCTAGTGTTGCGTACAGAAAGCCTTGCAGGATACTGAAAATTTCTGTCAAGCATACCAAGTTTGCTGTCGATTACAATCAAAGTTTGCTCTGTACTGGAGATACAGCTTGTTCAAAAGGAACTCCACTGGCCATGCAACAGATGATGACATTACCTATTGAGGAACTGGGGCATTTCCTTGGAAACCAGAGGACATAACAGATGCTTCTCAATTATGGTTTAATTTAAAGTGTTGGTTAACATGGGAGGATGTGCAAGTTCTTGCTCAAGAGTATTTGCTAACCATTGTTCGTGTCTGTTTCCTGCAAGCTCGGGCGTTTCATATGTAACCTAAATGCAAACGTCTGTAGTCTACTGCAGGATTTTAACTGGTCACAGAATCATGGAAAGCTGTATATCTTTCTCTGCAATGAAACCCTACAAATAAAGTGGACCAAACTATCTGAAGTCTCTATTCATAAGGATGAAATAGTATGCTGTGAATTCTATGCTACACCCTGGTCTGGAACATAAGAGACAGTGACATCTTTTGTCTTTTGTGATTGCCTAGGCAGAGAAAACTTTGCTTATGTACAAGCCCCATGTAGGTTCACCTCACGTCTACCGAAGCGGCTTCTCTACCTAACAGCAGTCTGATGCACAGAAATATTGCAGGTTAAGCTTTCCGAAGACGGAGTTAAGACGGATAGCCTCGCCTTTTTCATTTCTGCCGCTGTTCCAAAGGATGCTGTACCTTTCAAAACTGCACAGGAGAAAATATCACACCAGGTGTGCTTCTTTCCCACTACTATAACCCTGTGCTGGGAAAAGCCACGCCTACTGAAAATCTGCCTCCTGTGCCAAGTTTAAAGGTGTACAAGCCCTCTGTACCGGGAGCGGAATGAAATGTGCTGAGCTGGTAGGATATGGACATCAGAAGTGTGGGATCGCTTCTGCGAATGATCCTCATGTTAAAGTTCCTTGTAAACAGAAAACTGGCACTGCATGCATCTTCCAAACAAAAATCAGAACAACCACAAAAAAATCCAAAGCCGTTTATAACTTCATTTTTAAAAAACCACACGAATCTGAGCAGGAAATAAACGTTCTGAAGCTAACACCTATTAGGAAAGGATTCCAGGCAAGGAGTGAGAGACCGGGGAAGGTCATGCAAGATCCTACCTGTTCCAGGTGGCGTTGGAGCAGGCCCGTCGCTGCTGGGTTCCCCGCTCATCCAAGGCTGCCTGCTCTCTCTTGCCCAGATCACTGAGGCTGGGCGAACTCATGAACTTCAACCTGCGAAGAGTCCTCATGGTCAAATGTGTGCGTGTGGCAGCTAGAGAAACACCATCCTTTTTACAACACACACACACGCAGCGGAGGCAGCGGCACCTTCTCCGTTTGCTGTTCAAAAATGAAACTTAAGGGAAAAAAAGAAGAAGAGAGAACCAGTCTCTACAGAACACACCTCTGCCAGCAAGAAAACAAACCTTTAATCAGATCAACTCTGACGTTATAAATTGTGGTTAATAATTTCTCCAGTTTTTTTTAAGCTGAACTTCTTACGGAGGCTTGTTACACATTTTTTTTAGGGGGGGACAAGAAAGTTGCCAAAAGTTTATCTCTGTCCCCACCCAAATGAAGATCCTTGTTCGATATGGCTGCTCCACCTGTCCTTTCAAAGGCTTCTTCCGATACTGAATTCTCACAGGTTTCTCCTCCCACCCACTTGTAACTGGAGATGAAGCCAATAGTGGGGGAAATCTGCCCACTGAACGTGACGTATGGAAGTTTCGTAACTACTGAGGTCTTACCACATGACAGTGTGCTCTCTCTCTCTCTCGCTCTCTCGCTCTCTCTCTCTACCACACAAATTTGCTACTTGCCTAAGAAACCGCTTAAGCTCAAATCATAAAGCAAGCCATAAGAATGAGACCAACATGTTTAAACAAATGACAACCACTGGTTGCTTTTCAAGATGTCATTTCCGAAATGATGTACTGAAGCGCTGTGTCCGAGGGGGAGGGTCCTCCGACCCCTTCCTCTCCTAAAAGGTTTACAAGAAAGGATTCAGTACATCTGAAAGCAAGCCAGAGATAGCTCGTGTTCAGAGAAAATACATACCACTCCCTATGACCACAACAAAGCAATCTGCTACTAACATATTCAAACAAGAGTCTGACTTGTTACTCTTAAGATAAACCACGCATTTTCCGTCCTTCCACCTACTAACCATGTAAAACTGGATTTAAGTACTGGGTGTGGATTGTGGCATCCTGAGAATTTCCATTCTCACGTTTTGTTTAAAAAAACCCTGAAAAGTCCCTAGCAACGCTACATCCTCCAGCCCTCCAATGCACAATTCTGAACTCAAATCCAGTGCAAATATTTAGTGAAGCTAGATCACCTACACAAATATTTATTTTAAAACATCATTACTCTCCAACAAGGTGGATTTTTAAAATTTAAATCAGATTTTTTAAAATTTAAATTGGTTTTTTAAAAAATTAAAATGCTTTTTGAGGAAAAATTCATCTAAAAGGTAGTTTTCTATTTAAGATACATTAGAGTCCAAAGGTTATTAATCATGAAATAAGGGTTAGTTTTTAATTATGAAGCATGAGGCCGTATATTCATGCAATGTTTAAATTTTTTGATAAATGAATTCCATTAAACCATTCACAATGTCATGCTCTTCCAGAGGTTTCTGTAAGATTACTGGGCAGTTTTTCTATCTATAAGGTATTATCACAGAGGCTGGGTTTTACAGTTCTCAAAACTGTGAATTTGGGTCTGCAGAGAATACATGCCTCTTTTTCACAACAAACATGTTATAAAATAAACATACAGAGAAAAAGACCTTAATCCCATTGTTCCTTTGCAAATCTATGTACACAGAATCAGTCCCTTACCTCTCTGGCACCTTTTAAGACCAACAAAGTTTTATTAAAGGTATAAGCTTTCTGGTACACGCACGCTTCTTCAGATACATTGAAATGGAAGTTACCAGTCCATACATATAGATAGAGGGCGAGCAGCAGATTGGCATACAACATAATAAAGGTGTTTAAAAGATGCTAGGACCAAACTGGAATAACAAGCTTAGTTTATATGGTCACCATGTGTTTGGGTTTAATTCAGGGGGGAAACATAGTGAAGGAAGTAAATACGCCAAAATCAGAGACTGATGGGCAGACGTAGACTGGCTCAAAAGCAGGGCTGTTTTTGGGCAGGAACGCACAGGAACGGAGTTCCGGCTGGCTCCCGAGTTGGCCACGCCCAGCAGAAACTCATTAGCATAATAGGCCACACCCAATAGCAGAAACTCATTAGGATTGGCTACATTAGGGGTGTGTGGCCTAACATGCAAAGGAGTTCCTGCTACAAAAAAAGCCCTGGGTTTTGACAACAAACAAGGTAAACAGAATAAGAAAGGAAAGGTGGGTGTGGCTGGATGACCACACTTCTGGTAACATGGGGGTGTGGCCTAATGTGCTAATAAGCGGTGCTGTCAGGGTGTGGCCTAATATGCTAATGAGTTTTGCTGTTGGGTGTGGCTTATTATGCTAATGAGTTCCTGCTGGGCTTTTTCTACAAAAAGAGCCCTGCAAAATTACAGACACACACATAAATAGTGGCTAACCTCAATGAAAGCTTGTTAGGAGAGGCAACTTCCTGACTAACTATGGGAACGCTGATAAGAAACCTCCAATTTTACTGCTAATAGCTGGAGTTTCCACGGTAAACTCTTGCAATATGCTGCCTGTTTCCCAGACAGAGAAATCTCGTGAACAAGCAAGTGGTTACACACGACACAGAGAAAGACAAACAAACAGAACAGCTCACTATTGTGGGGTGAGTTTCGGAGCGTCCCAACTTTTTTTTATTCAGGTGGGTGGCCCTGATGGTCTGAGGCAACAGATCAAAGCTCGAGTCCAGAGGCACCTTTAAGACCAACAAAGTTTAATTCTGGGCACAAGCTTTCATGTGCATGCACAGAAAAGCTTATAACTGGTGCCACTAGACTCACATTTTTTGAATGTTATTTATAGTCTGCTTTTCTCACTGAGACTCAAGGTGGATCAAACAGTGTAAGTGAATATGATCAACATGACAGGACATCCAATAAGCAATGCAATAGGGTTTGGATTACAGAAATCTGAAATAGAGCTGAAACAAAGTTTTTAAAACGTGGCATGTTAAATGCTAAATCCAGACCCCATAGAGAAAACAAGAGACTTCTTCTTGACCAACAGAAAGGCAGAATTGTATTTACTGGATTTACTCATATCACTATCTTTTACAGGGGCAAGTCAAACATTTAAAGCATTTCACACACGTTCCCAATAATTTTTACGACAGCCCTATAAAACGAGCCAAGACGGTTATGATGTTTGGCAGTGCCTCCACAGACACCCGACACCTGCACAACTTTCAGCTCACAAAGCTGAACACCATTCACTTGTCCAAGTGAGGATGCACCAGGAACTGGAGGTTTCCATAAAATATGGAGTTGCCAGTACTCTCCATCATAACAAACCACAAGGAAACATTTGCCCCGGTCCAGCTCCAAATCTCTCTTTGCATCTTGTTCTGTCCTTCCTTAGCCACCAGTTACACTCCCCTGGAAAAGGCAGGTTCACGGCTTGGGAATGCTGCTTGACACAGTGGTCACCTTAGAAAATCAGGTGGCTACTGTGACATTTGCCCAGCTCCAGCAGTCGGGTCAGCTATGCTGCCCCCTGAGTCAGTCAGGTCTAGCCATTGTGAGCCATGCCTTAGTTACACCTAGACTGGACCAGTGTTCCCTCTAAGCTGAGTTAGTGTGAGCTAGCTCACAGTTTTTTAGCCTCCAGCTCACACATTTTTCTCTTAGCTCAGGAAGGATGGCTCCATGGCAAAGTAATTTATGCAGTAGCCAAATTGCTCGCTCACAACTTTAATGCCAGTAGCTCACAAAGGAGAACTTTTGCTCACAAGACTCCACAGCTTGGAGGGAACATTGGACTGGACTACTGCAGTGAGCTCTACTTGGGGCTACACTTGAAGAGTTTGGAAGCAGCAGCTAGTGCGGAATGCTGTGGCTAGACTGCTTGTCAGGACCAGCTATTCGGAGCATATGTCCCCAATACTACAGCAACTATACTGGCTACCAATCCTCTCCTGAGCCTAATTCAAGATACTCATTTTGTCCTTTAAAGCCCTGTGTGGCTTGGGACCAGGGTATCTGAAGGACCACCTTCTTCCACATGTTCAAAATAAAGATAAGATGGGTGCAATGCACTGAAGAACTACACAGAAAACACGAAAGGAAAACAGACTCCTTCAAAGAAGATTCTTTTGAAGAAGAACATGCACTTTTAGAAAGTGAAGTGAAAGCTGTACTTAAAGCAATTAGTCATAAGGAGCTGATGGGATATCAATAGAGCTATTTCAAGGTACAGAAACTCAGTCCATCGAAATTTGAACAAGAATATGCCAAGAAATATGGAAAACAAAACAATGGCCCACAGACTGGAAATGCTAAATCTCCATTCCAATTCCAAAGAAAGGACATGTTAAATATTGCAGCAACTATCACACAGTTGTGTTAACATCCTGGTCCCAAGCCATGTAGGGCTTTAAAGGACAAAATTAGTACCTTGCAAACTAAGTGATCCTTAAATTTTTGCAACATATAGGCAACAAGAAATACCAGATGTAGGTTTGTTCTACTACTTCCCCACCCACCCCCCGCCCCATCCTCTCACCCCCAGTTTTCAGGTCTTCAGGATTCAGTTTCAAATTTCAGGTTTTTAGGCCTGTCCTGAAGTTCTCCAGGAGGAGGGATAAAATCTCTGGTGAGGCAGACCATTTTCTGTCTGGCTTGGTGAGAACTTTCAGCTTTCCTCCCATGTCCGTTTCATTCTACTGAGGAACCATGAGGTGTAGCTAAGATTTGTCCCTGCCTCTCCAGGTGCCACTAAGCTCCATTCACAACCTGCCAGGCACTAGCATTTGTCTCTAAGACACAAAGTCTGAGGTTCTAGGGCAGTGATACCCATTGGCTTTGGAACCCTATGTAGCTCTTCTAAGCATCGCTCCCCGATGTGGCACCTGTTCCATGTTTCAGGAAAGTGGGCAAGGCCCTTGCTACTGAGGCCTTGCAAGCATACGTGAGCACATGGATCTGCCTTCTACTGAATCAGATCATGGGTCCATCAAGGTCAGTATTGTGTACTCAGACTGGCAGCGACTCTCCAGGGTCTTACGCAGAGGCGTTTTGCATCACCTACTGCTAGATCCTTTAACTGGAGATGCCGCAGATGGAACCTGGGACCGTCTGCATGCCAAGCAGATGCTCTGCCCCTGAGCCATGGCCCCTCCCCTTCCACCAGGTTGATAGGTGGCCACCACCATGAAACAGCTACATCCACAGAAACAGGTAAGCTATGAGCCTTCCTGAGGCACAGCAGGCCTCATGCCAGGCATGGATGTGAACATGGCTCTCTGTGAACTGCAGAGCAACAACTACCGTTTTAGAACCTTGGTCACTTTTGCCCTCCTCTTGCCAACCTTTCTTTCTGCCTTAGTAAAGAATAAAAACACACCAGCTGTAGCTCAACAAAGGGACAGAGAAACCACTTAGTATAGTTTGTGGAGAAATAGTTAATTAAAAAGATTGGCTGCGAGATCTGAAGAATTTCTGATTTGTCAGCAAAATCTCTATCCCTGCCCCAAAACGGTATAGGTTGGAATTAGAATAGAAAATATAGCTGTAGATCACAATACACACTTTTGCTGCTTCTGTTCATTACAAGCACACACCTTTGGGGAGGTTACATCCTGCCGGCCAACAAACTTTCAAAAGTATTTATACTCTATGCACAGTAATTATTTCCATGAAAAATTGCCCTTCGCACAATAAGCAAATTCTGTGTTGCATTATTCTAAATAATCTCCCGTTCTGCTAGCTAGCCCTGTTCTACTGGTTAAAGGCACTCATTTCAGTGGTTAACATTTATGTGTTGCAGGCTCAGAAAAAGACATATACTAAGATACAATCCATGCAAAATCACCATAGATTTTTATTCTGTCATGCTCTAATACAGGCCCGTCCAACTTGTGGACACCCCCCCCCACCGCCATCGCCACACTCCAAAAGGAACGCAGGCCTCCAGTCACATATTGTAGCCTGACAGGTACTTGACATCCTCTGTTTCTGCAGAAATGTAAGCAGCCAAAAAATGAAGTGCATGTAGACCCTGGCAGGTGCTGCATGCAAAAGGTCATGTGGTGGAGCACACATTGTACAGGGCTGCCCTACTAGGTCTGAAGCAGGACCTATGCTATGCAGACACATAAGAAGGTCATGCCTTGACCGGATGGCCCAGGTTAGCACAGACTCATCAGATCTCAGAAGCGAAGTAGGGCTGGCCCTGACTAATACTCGCGTGAGAGACGGCCAGTGAAGGCCCAGGGCTGCTGTGCGGAGGCAAGCGATGGCAAACCACCTCTGCTTGTCTCTCACCACGGAAGACTCTACAGGGACACTGTAAGTCAAGATGCAGCTTGACAGCGTTTTCCACCACCAAGAAAAGTCATGCTGCCATGGGGTGTTGTGTTATGCTGTGCCTGGCGAGAGAATGAAAACTGTTTTCCCCAGGAAGCTTTAGCCACTTCTCCTGGTTCCTAAGGAAGGGATTCCCATTCCATTCAGGCTGTGGTCTCACACACACGAAATAATCCACTTTCAATGCACTTCCCAACTGGATTTTGCCAGTTAACACAGCAAAACCCAGTTGGACAATGCACCGAAAGCGGACTGAAAGTGGATTATCTAGTGTGTGTGACCGCAGCCTCAATGATGTTGAATCGGACAGAAAGAGGACGCAATCAGGAAATCAGTGGTGGCATACTGCAGAATGTGTTATCCAGTTCCCTGGGCCAAACCCAGGGATGTGTTTTGCCCTACACAGGTTCCCCATTCACCTAGAATCTCGCTTTCCCACGCAGCCAGACCTGCCCCAATGCCAAGTCCCCTGGCAGGCCTGTCAGAACAACACCAGCTGTCATAACATTGGGAAGTTGCTTACCTGCTCAATGGCTCAAAGAACAGGTCTGAGTAGGAACATTTGGAAACAGCAGGTATTTTCTTACATCCCGGTATAACAACCAGAGAATGCTGAGGGTCAGGAGGAACTTAACTAATGCACAAAGAGGCAGTTCTGCAAGAGAAGAAATAAAAGGATGAAGGGGGCAAAGTTAGCTTATGAATGCTTTTAGCAAAAGTCTAAAAACTGACTCCCACCCTTAACGTAGAGGACTGAATAATAACTATGACGTTACTAACACTTCACACATGTGGTAAAGTTCTGAGTGTTCAAACCACTTTCATAAACTTCACTGCAGGAATCCTTACAAGCTTGTAATGTAGGAGGATATTATTATTCCCGTATTGCTGAAATGGGGCTAAGGCTGTCAGAATATCACCTTGCGAAAGAGAACAGAAGAGAGACAGCAAATGCAGTTCAGAGCATCTCTGGCAGATGGGCTGCAAGCTTTAACTGGTTTCAGGGTTTGACCTATCGAATGAGGGCAGTTTTCATTGGTGGGACTGTGGCTAAGGATGCGACTGTTTATTTTTTTGAGGCTATTCTGTAATAGGGCATGAAAATGAAGTTGTTAATGGCAGCACTGAGCTCCACGGGGGGATGTATGCAGTATAGATATAGAGGTTCCCCCCCCCACCCTTGCATTCTAAGCACTCCAGTGATTTAGAAGGTTCAAAGTTCTCAGCACTACCAGAGTGGTATTGTGGTTAAAGTGTTAGACCGAAGCTTGGAAGACCAAGGTTCAAGTCTCTGCTCACATTCTCTGTTAGCTGGCTATTTAAAGAAAACATTATGAAAATGATTAATCGTCTCTTGGAGACTGGCCATATGCAAATAACTATTTCTCTACACCTCTCAGTACAATTCTGTTGCCCTATGCAGTGGACATCAGCTCAAAGTCACTGGAAAATGTCCTCACTGAATGGTATAAAAGTCTCTAGAACCATCATTTCTCAGCTATGTTGCTACAGTTCCTAAGGATAATCAGATCATGGCCTTAAATAGACAAACAAGAGATCTGTACAAACTAACTATACTTACAGCTTTTTAGAAATGTATGGGAAAAGTGCGAAAAACTAACTATACTTACAGCTTTTTAGAAATGTATGGGAAAAGTGCGAAAAACTAACTATACTTACAGCTTTTTAGAAATGTATGGGAAAAGTGCGAAAAACTAACTATACTTACAGCTTTTTAGAAATGTATGGGAAAAGTGCGAAAAACTCTAAAACTTAAAAACTGCTATTTTTCTCTTTTTTTATTGGACTCTACTTTGGAAGAATAAACTGATACCAGAAGGACAATACTAACATACTAATTGCTTTGGTTAACACCATTAGAAGAAAAGAAGAAGCTTCGACGATGAAGAAAAAGAAATATAAAACTGTGGATTCTCTGATTTGACTATAAAAAGTTTAACAGACTAACATGTTACTAATACCACTCACTCTTTTCTTTGTCCCTCTTTATACCCTTCCTTATCTCTAACTTTTAGTGAAATACCTCCCATTTTTAGGGGAACGAATAAAGCTTTCTTAAAAAAAAAAAAAGAAATGTATGGATGTGAAAAAATTAGATACAACAAAGACATTTGTGATTCATTTGTATGGCACATACAAGAGGTGCAAAGCTACATATTACCTTTACTTAGACCAGGGGTATGCAACCCTTTTTAATTAAAGAACCAAATTACACCAAAATCTGGAGCTAGAAAAGGCCAGGATGTCACTTGCTGTGATGTCAATTCTAGGTCAAAAGTCAAGTCTTTAAGCCATTCCCCCCTTGAGATCACTTCTGCCCGTCAAAAATTCAAATTCTGCCCTGACCTGGATAGCCCAGGTAAGCCCGATCTCGTCAGATCTCGGAAGCTAAGCAGGGTCGACTCTGGCAAGTACTTGGATGGGAGACCTCCTTGGAATACCAGCAGTCGGGAGGTGGGGGCAGGCTTTACTCAGCCACCTCTCTGAATATCCTCCAGGCCCCCAGTAGGGGTCGGTCACCACAGGTCGCCGTGAATTCCAGGTGCACAACACTCACATGCACACACACATTTTTAAAATACAAAAAAACCACCCAAATTTCAATTTCCTCCTCTGCATTACTTTTGACTACCTTCACACACACAGTTACTCCTGCTTCTCTTTACTCCCCTCAAGCAACATTTGACAACTTTCTCCAAAAGTCTGACTAGAGCCACCATCATCCAGCCAACCTGAGAACACTGCATTCAAACCTGTATTCAGCCGCAGGTTTGTTGGCTTGCCTATCGTATGTCACTCATTCTTTCCACTTCAGTTCCACATCTGTAAAACAGGAAGGCATATGACGGCCTTCCGAGGCTACAGCTAAGAATGAACAAACACGTACAAAGCACTTTGCAGCATACAAGTCCTATTTAAACAGTTACCAGTATTTTCCATGGTGTACAAGTCCTAATTAAACAGTTACCAGTATTTTCTGGGGTTACATGAAAATTAAAATCTCCCTGTCACTGACAAATTTAGGATTTTGACCTTAAATATTTTATCCTTAGCCTTTTTGTACATGGGACACAAATACCTTTTTCCCACCAGCTTTCAAAGAAAAACACTGGTTTTAGCATACACTCTGTAACATTTAAAGACTATGACCACATGAAATTTCACCCATTACCAGTTATTTCAACAGTGCCCAAGACTGCAAATCCCAGACTAGAAATTAAAGGAAATGGGACAGCAGTAAGATATTTGCTTACTTTCTGACCAATAATCCAGAACATACCTCAAATTTACCTTGCACTTTATGAATTTAAAAAAAAGTTCGCTGGGCCAATTGCACTTTCCCAACTCAGACAGAGGCTTACTGACAATGTAAGAATGTTTTCTACTGATGATCGGTTGCCCTGCTTAAACTAGTTTGATGTGAAGTATGGATATTTTTCCCTGCATAATAACATGAAGGCTTCTGTATATTGAGCACTAGATGAAGCTGTATGGTACAACTGAAGAAGTTATCAATGAAACGAAGATTGGAATCCGGCGTCTTCATCCCATGTTCTTTGTGCCGGCTTCCTTTGTACACTCTGTGTTGTTCTGTTATATGTATATACGATATTGTAGCTGTTTATACACACTTGTGTTATATAAACATTCTTTCTTCTTTTGCACTTCAGTATAGTGCCTTGGATTGCGTTATTTTACAGTGCTTTTTTGGGGGGTTTGTATACTTTCCCAACCCAGCCAACCTCACAGAGCAGTTGTAAGGATAAAACAGAAGAAGGCAGAACCATCGTTACTTTCTCAAGCCTTTTTAAAAAAAGGCAGAATAAACATATGATGCTTTTAAACTGACCATAAAATTACAGTTTAAACTGACCATAAAATTGCAGTAAGTGAAAGCTTAACTACAGGTTTTTTTTCCTATTCCTATCAGACAGCAGCCAGTGTTTGTTTTACTCTTTTTGCAGGGGTGGTGGTGATGGAAAGAAGGCTATAGTCACAGGTGTGTGTTGGGGGGGGGGGGAACTGAAATTCTGCACAAAGGAAACCTAAATTTTCTGCAAAGAAAAGCTGGATTCTGCAACCTATATAGTATGCAACAGAGAGAGAGAGAAGAGAAGAGAATGGATTCATACCCCGCCCTTCACTACCCACAGGTGTCTCAGAGCGGCTGACAAACTCCTTTCCCTTTCCCTCCCCACAACAGACACCCTGTGAGGTAGGTGGGGCTGAGAGAGCTCTTGACCAAAACTGCTCTTTTTCCAAGAACAGCTCTTATCAGAACTACGGCTTGCCCAAGGTCATCCAGCCAGGTGCAAGTGGAGGAGTGGGGAATCAAACCCAGTTCTCCCAGATTAGAGTCTGCACACTTAACCACTACACCAAACTTCTGCATTTATCATACGGAAGAGTAAAACAGGTGCAACTGAAGCCCAGCTGCAAGTCCTGGGAATTTTACTCACTAACCTTGTCAAGTTTCTGAGATTTTGTCAGGCATCACTCAACCACTTTCAAGGATATCTCTGAAATCATAAGGGCTAGACGACAGCTTCCAGTCAGTCCTCAAGGTTAGCCCCATGTAGAGCACACTGCAGTAATCGAATCTTGGGCTAGAAGAGGAGCCTCCCCAATTTCCCGTGTTCTGAGATTGGAGAATACCAAAACCATACATTCTTATCTCCTGATGTTCTGAAGTCCCCAACTCCCATCAGAGGTTCCTTCCAAGGTGGGGTAGTAAATTTTGTAGCATCATTAAACAGCAGCAAATTGTCTGATATTGAGTGTACTACTATTTTTTGCCACCAGCAGAGGGACACTTAAGTCATCAAAATGTGACACTGCCGCACCTTTTGTGGATGGGAAAAACTGCACCCCTGTTAGGGTTGCAAAGTCTAATTTGCTTACTGGCGGGGGAGCCTCGCCGGGCTCCGAGAGCCGTCCGAAGATGCACGTGCAACGTCGACCACGTTGAAGGCGTGGCTCCGATCATTGGAGGGAAAACCATAGAGTTTTCCCTCCGACGATCGGGGCCATGCCCCCAACGTGATTGATGTGGTTGCGTCACCTCTGGTGACGCAGCCACGCTGCGCTTCGGGGGCGGAGTTCCCCCCGGGGCCCGATTCCATAGCGGTGGAAATCAGGCCTCCGAAGCGGGGGTTTGCCCGCCACCCGCCCCCACTTGGCAGCCCTAACCCCTGTTGCTAGAATCCTCTGCTTTACTTGCCCACATTCTCGGATATCCTTGGCCTGTTCGTGTTTGGGAGGGGTGGGGGCTTGAAAAGCAGCTGTGCGAAAGCATGGTTATAGCGGTGACTTGGGGTGCTTGCATTCTTAATTCTGCTAGTTGTGCGTGGGCATCAGGGTAATAAGAATCAATGATTTTTTTAAAAAAAAATCTCAAAATATCAATATTTTAATCAAATCAGATTTTTTAGGATAAAATATTAATAGATCTAGGTGTGTGTTCTTTACTCCTGCACCAACCTTGTTTGTATGTTCTCTAGGTAGTGCTATAAATCCTGAACAATGCCATTGCCTGAGTCATCTGTGATGTACATCCCACATCTAGAAAATAATGCCATTCAATTTTCAAGGAGTCAAGTGAAAGGAGGGTGGAATAGGGTGCAGAAGTGGG